CGCCCCCAAACAACTTTCCAACTGCAACAAGGTGTTAGCAGACAATAACTAAGCATTCAGTTGATAAGATTTGATTTACTTCCAGCATTAGGTCTTGCTTTACTATCATAGAATCTTGGATGCAACATTCGCTCGGTCAACATCGTGGCATTAACAATTTCTGTACGATCCATGTAACTACTCTCMGTTACAACACTACAAGACAAAGACAAAAAGAGATATAAAGTGCGTTGCTTTGTAAAAGTTCAGCAGAACACAGGAACTTTGCAGAGCATAGCTAGTGGAGGGAGACAGTCTATTTCTACTATAACTAACTAAGTATGGTGCACAGCAAGCACTAAGTATCATACCTGTTATCTTTACATGATACGTGYCCCAATGTAAAAGTTAACAGCAATAACCAAACACTATCCATATTTTAATTCCCTGAAAAACAATGTCGACAAAGTTTCTTCAATGGGTTTGATCAATTGCCCTTAAAAAGATAGAATTATTGTCTGCTTTCGTACCATGCACAGGAGCCAACAATTTTATCTTTTATTAGTCGATGCCTCGAGATATCTAAAGTAGTCAAAATATCATAATCCTTGTGGTTTTGCTGAGAACTGCCTTGAAATTACCAATTAAATCACAATGTTAAGACATCTTCTGTTTCTCTAGTAAGAAAGGAAGGAAGGAGAGAAAGAAGGAAGAGAGGAAACATTGTCCATTTTTTTAAAACCAATGAGAAACCGTTTCATTTGTTCACATTTTTCACCAGAGGAAATCCTCTCGTGTCCATAAAATTGTACTTTAAAAATTGTGTTTTTGYTATGAAATCTCGTTCATAACCAAAGAAAAACGAATCTTTTTCTTTCTAAAACAACCAAAAATTGTTTGAACACAAATGCCGTTTCTGCATCTTGTTTAATTGTGTTTTTGTGGAGTATAATAAGTTCTGTTATACAGCTGCATTCAAAAGGATGCAGTCGTCTTCATAGGCTCAGAACTGCGCAAATGGTGTCCGTAATGTCTATAGGATTGAATGAATAAATAGAAATAATATTATTTAACCTTTAGATAGAAGACTAAGATGTATTCTTCAGACTTGACGCTATGTTCCAGTTAGACACTCCTTCATTAGCTCAAGACTTGATTGCAACTCTCCTTCAAAATAGTGCGCAATACAAAAAATTAGCTTACCTTTCCGTTTCTTTTCTGTGTTTTTGCGTTTTACTCTTAGCTGTCACACACGGGTACAATTTTCAGAAAGAAATGAGGTTTTTGAGGAAAAGTATTTTCATTTAAGGAGTTTTGTCGTTGCGATGATCTCACATTGCCCAATTTTCAAATCCGTTTTCCTTCTGTTCTACTCACAAAAAAAGATTACCTTTAAGTGTCGGTTCTGTTTTCAGTCTTAATTGAACTTAATTATCTTCGTTAACATATAATATCTGTATGGTTTTGTGGTCATTAAGAAGGGTTTTTATGTCGAGGTATCTATGGCTATACTATGTGAAATCTACGGAACAGTTGGCAAGAAAATCCAAAAATCGTATCGTACAACTTGGCTTTCGTTATTTTTTCATGTCATAATGTCCTTAGCAGAGAAGCTATCCTTTAGAGAAACTTTATAATTATAAGTTTATGTATTGATTCAAGAAGAATATGAAATAATTCCAAGCCCTACGTTTGAACTCAGAGTTTCTTTCATTTTATTGATTTGATTATTTCAGAAAGGAGGCAAATGATGTAAAAAAAAAACACCTTTATCATACCTCTCATTTCAACATTTTTATGTGAAAAGTCAAATCGAAAAACAGTTATAACCGAGACMAGAACAATAAATATATTTTATAATAATCTTTTTCCTAATTGCTGAGCGTTAAATAAAGAATCTTTAAAAACCGCAAACCAGTTTGAATCGAAAGCGCTTTTGCTTTGAATAAAGAATAAAATATTCTTTGCCGCCAAACAAGACAAGAAATGGGACAACAGATTATTTTCGTCTCAACTTGACAATGCGAGCTAAAAAAATCAGGAAACAAAAAGGCAGAAAWAACAGCTAAAACGAGTAGGCATCAGTTGTGTGATTCATAATTTAGACGCGGAGCTTATAACCTTTTTAGGAATTGTTTATATATCTTATTCACCGTGTTATAATCAACCATATTTGTATGAAGCGACGCTGAGAAACTCACTCACCACACCCTATAGACAGAAACTGAACAAATCTACAAAAATAACAAGAAGCGAAACCCGATGCTCATAGTATACTAACTTCTTGTGGTTGATCATAATTTTCTTGGTAAAGTGCTTTTTTGAGAGACCCGACGCAATTCTTCATCAAATATTCTCTGTTTAATCCTTGTACACTTTATTTTTGGAAGCAAAGTCAAGGCAGTTATTATAAATCATTAATTAACCATTAATATATACACTCCATTCCTGGGCTATATGGCAGATAACTCAAACCTTTGCATGAACGTTTTTTACATGAGTCAGTTTGTTTTCCAACTCTTACAATTTGGTTTATTGRTTTTCTTCTTGTTTATGTTTTGATTATCTTTATTTATACATTAATTTTTCTGCATTTACTTRCTGTACTTCCTCTATTATGACTCGTTTTTCAGYGTTTTTKGAATATGAGAGGGCGGRGAACGAAAAAACAGCAAAATCKATAYGTGACGCCTTCACCAGGGTTTAAACAAAYAAAAAATAAACAAATCAACTCAACATCAGATAAAATGACAAAATYYTATCTCATTTGTCGAATGGAGATGTCGGRAWGTTAAACGATTCGATGGTCTGAGCATGCGCACGATAACCGCTYGCAGCACGGACAAATGTGGGATAACATTAAAGGTTAATGGAGTCACAATAGATGAAATACARTATGACACTAAACCCGTGAAATATATCATACGGCATAATTAAATCTTGATATCTATTGAATTACTCTAAACAGCTACTGCAACCTACAGAGACCTAATAACCACGAGAACGTYAGATTATGGTCTTTTATCATTGATGCCTGTGCCCTATTCAAACCAAACTGGATGCAAATTATAGCGCTCTGCAGTTTTTTTKAGTTCTAATGTTCTAATAACAACACTACAAGGAGACTAATTCACGGGTTTAGTGTCTGCTTTAGCCTCATTCCCAGGCAACTCTATTTACATCTACCGGGCTTCCTTTTTAATGTTTAAACAGAAAGTTAGGGACTGGGACAAGAAAGGAAAACCTATCCCTCTCTCTCGCTTCCATTCTCCCTCTTTTGCAAAGAAACAGGAATCCCGTGAGTAAGAATAGTGTTGCCTGTRGAGGAAGTCTTCTGTTCGGTTAGTTATGCAGGAATAAGTTCAACCAATACACAACATTAAAGATAGTGAATGCTACAGGATACATCAGACGGCAGCATTTGTTAATAAGCACGCTAATATCTGGCTTTTCCTCTGTTTTAAATCTCTTTGGCGGACATGTCAGCGGTAAGCAGCAGTTGCGCAATGCGTCCTTGATATATYTGTTTGCTTGTTCTTCTTCRTAGGACACGACGTGGACTTCACCGTTTGCTTCAGCGATGTACGTGGGTTTGAATCCATGTTTGCAGTTGAACGTTATATGCGCTCGCTGTTGATGGAAGAAGCAATAAAATTAAATACCTCGTCCACACTGCATCGACGAGGCCACTACGTCGTTGAATGCAGTGTAKTTAATAGGTGGAAATAATATTGTAGTATTTCATCGCCATAAAATAACGAGTTACTTACTTCTTTCCCCTCTTTTCCATCACTTCTCGAGTCGACCAACCTACTGTATCTATAAACCAGTAGATCCGTGACTAACGTCGAAAACACGAACATGAAAGAACCAATCAAATACCAGTCTATCGCTTTAGCGTAACTCACTCGAGGCATAGTCGAGTTACTCGAACCCAGTAAAAACACTATCGTAAGAACGGTCGTGATTCCGAGTGATACTCGCTCTCCGATGTAATATCGATCCATCCAGAAAGAGATCCAGCTAAGCGTTACCATGACGATACAAGGAATGTAAAACTGTATGAAATAGAAACCCATTCGTCGATGAAAGGTGAATGTGACGATGAGGTTCTTGTACACTCCTAAAAAACAAGAAAACTACGTTAAAATGGACCAGATTAGTAAAATATAACAGTACAGCAAGGTATCCAACAGACGATYTCCGAGGTGYGCGTCSCTTTAAAAAGAATCGAAGGCGCGCGCATGAAAACGAGGCCTTAAAACCCTTGTTTTCATGCTGATTTCTACGATTGTTGATCGTGCATTCTTGGAAATCGTCTATTAGAATGACGCGCACGTTCAGGAGGACCTTACCAGGGACATATGTAGCATTACGTTCTTTTATTTCAAACTTAACGACATCGAACTCGGCCAAGTCAACGTTGAAGATACGCACGGGATTGTCTTTTTTCCATATGATATTCATCTGATCAACAGTATAGGCGACTAGACAAAAACAATTAACATTGTTGTTTATTATAATAAAAGATATCTAAACAGACCTAATGTAATCCACGTCAAACTGAGTGAGTAATACTTACAGCTTTCTAGAATTAACGAGCATCTTTGAACATCGAGAGGGAAATTGACCAAGTCCATTTGACACGCTGCTTTSACCTTGACTCGTCCACTGTTATATACATCCCCATTGCCTGATATCAAAACCAACTTGTTTTGGACGTATACATTATATTCATTCGCGTTATTAAAGTATGTATCAGGGTTCCAAATTTCGTTAACTCGTTCCTTGGTTAACGAGAGAGTAGCACGATAGCCATGAGCAAGACGAGGGTCATTCCATTCTTGTCTTAAATACATAAACACTTCGAATTCCTAAAAAAAACACAATTATTATTGATTGAATCATGAACTTGTGTTTGTTTAAAGGACAACGTGCATCCGAGAGCCTCTGCGCGATTTTCTCACAAACGACAATTCACCACCTTTGATTTTTAACCAATCAGAAAGCAGCTTTTAACAACAAAAGACCGCAAAGGCTTTTGGATGCAAGTCCACCTTCAAGTATAGAAAGGAGYGKTTCATATGCGAGAGCTGGAGAGTTTTTCATGCGATTGTGAATCATTGCTTGAGCGATCAACTCGATTTACGGCCATTTGGTCGTATTCTCGAGGTGGTCGCTTGATGGCAGTGACGTCGTCTCACCATGTTTGATTCCCTGATTTGGCTGAAAGCTTGTATCGCCATACTGATGTTAACTTGGGTTGGCGATCCTACAAAACAAGAACACTTTTTGATAAAGGATTCATTGGCTAGGATCAGTTAAATACAGGATTTTACATGCGTTGCGTAGTACTGTGTTCAGTGTTACGGTGTCAGTATTGTGTTGCGTTGTCAGTGTTGCGTTGCGT